TCCTTTTCCAGGACCTGGTTTAGCTACATGGCTTCACTAGGTGCATGGAGTGAGGCTAATGCTGTAATCTACTTTCCCTGCCTTCCTTTTCAAATGTAAGGATCTGATCCAGCATGGATAAAGATAGATAGGACTGGTTTAAAGCACTTCTTAGAAAAGGTGGAGCGGAGCGCAGGCGGAGTATGTGGAATCTGAGGGTTAGTGTCAAACTGAAGCTAATGGCACTTATATTCCCACCTTATTGTTAATTTCGGTTTGTTTACTGTAACATTTTGATGCATTCAAAAGAAAAAATGGTTAGGACTTGTTAATTTCAAAGATTCTCAGCCTTTTGAAAACTTTGAAAAAGGCATAAAAAAAGAGATACATATTTCATATTACAACTTGGCATTGAATTACTTTCATGTGATTAGATTAAGTTCAAATGTTTCTTTCTCAAACATGAGTCTCAAGGTAAAAAAGAGAAAAGAGAATTAATTCGTAAACACAAATATTGTCATGACCTGCCCTGACCGGTTCCTAATCATTCCTCATCTTATCCACCTGTGTCTGTTACTTTATATTCAGCTCAGCCCAGCTATCTGGGTCAGATCATTGTTTGTGGCCAGTTTTTAGTTTGTTTCGTTAGTTTTGAGTTATTCTTGGGTTCATGTTCTTGTCCCCGGAGGCCAGTGGGTTGAGAGGGTTTTTGGTGTTTGTCTTGTCTCTTGATCGTGTCCTGGCTCCTAGGTGAGAGTACAGTTTTAATTCCCATAAGCCTGGCTCCTAGGTGGAGACTTGTTTAAAGTTCTGTAGATTTTTTTGGTACCATGTCTTGTCTCTGTCCCTCAACCACTGAGGTGGTCTGTCTTCATCTGCGCATTTCTAACCGGGTTGCGGACTCCTGGATTCCTGAACTGTCCTGTCTGAACATTTTCTCTGACCTGGATCCGATTCCTGCCTGCTCACTGAGGCTGCTGCTCTGGGGGCACTCTGGGTGGCTCTGCACCGCAGCTCGTTGGTCAGTCCATCCTCTCCGAGGAAGGCTGGATCCAGCCAATGGAACTGTTAAATCAGAGTACCAGTGATGGGTTGGGCCTCGCCCCCCTGCAGCCGCTGTGGTCTGCAGGTCCACAGCTCTGCGCTTCAGTTTTGTCTGTTTTTTTTGTTTTGGTTTAATAAACCTTTTGATCTTTCCCACTGTCTGTCTCACCGTGAATACTGGGTCCATCTGTCCCTGTTTCATGATAAATATAGGAACTTTCTCATGGCTTGGAGGTGTCTTCATCACCTTTTGTGAAAAAAAAAAATCTACAAAAAGGCATAGATTTATTTAGTTTTTTTTATTTGTAACAAAAAATAGATGGCTTATTTCGTAGAGAGCCACTTATCAGAGAACATTTTTCACCTAAACTTTGCATCATTTCCATGTCATGGCATATATAAACCTTGCTGATCAAGGCTAAAAACCATTGTTTTTCTGCTTTCATTAGCAGTCATCTGGTGCATCAATGTTCAGTTAAAAATACAAAGGGAAAATGATTAGTATTATTAAAACAAAAGTCTGATAATACAAATAGTATATTACTTAATCCATAGAACTTCCATAGCATTTTCAAAAAAGACCACAAGTTTTATTCAGTTGTTTTACTTGTTATCTAAATAAAAATGTTCTGTCGTATATTTCATTTGGTTAAAAAAAAAAAATTATTGAAGTTTAGTTGAAAGTTTATTACCTAAACAGCTATACAAGTGTCTTTAAAGCCTGCAGTGAAGTTCTCTATTAATTGGCAATATGGCTGCTGACCCAGGACGCCCTCTTGTCTTGGGGCACTGTAGGTCCTCCACGGAAAAAGAAAAGATAAGATAGTTCCGTCAGTTTCACTACTAGCATTTTTTTTAACTTATTTGTGTGTCTAGGTGGTTGAGCAAAAATGATGGCACTATAAACAAAACAAATTCAAAATCCAACCCTTTCTAAAAACAAGCATGACAACCAAAAATGTTCAGGCTTACCAAAGCTGGACCAAATTAATCAAATTTAATAACAAAACTCTTCTTTAAAACTCATCACCCATGTGTAAGACCTGATTAAAACAAACAGAAAAACAAAGAAAGAAAAATACTTGGAAGCCTCCAGAAATATTCAATATTCAGTCTTTATTATTAGCTCCTATGGGAGGACCACACCCTTAGTAAAAACAGAAACAGGATGCTTATAAATATTTATTGTTTAAAAAAAAGGCTCAAAGGAAAGCCTAACCTTGTCTTTCCTCTTTCCAAATGTCCCCTCCACAGATCACACGTCAGGTCCATGGACACAAATACTTAATAATATCTGTGGTCTGATCTCATTTGATTTAATGGTAGACTCCCCCAGTGGTCTGTAGCACGTTGCTTATGCAGAGCTAATTTGCACTTTTTCTCAGATTGCAGTTGTTTCTGCTATTTGCTGCATTTTATATTTTTTTGTTTAAGCATCATTAAATTGATTGCAAAGTTAGTTGTCTTTGCAGCACACCTATGTATGTATTTGCAGTGGGTTTGCACTTGATTTTCTGTGATTGTAGCAGTTTTCTTTTGCCACATTTTTGTTTTTCATGTGTTCTGTTTGTAGGTGTTTGAATTTCGGTGTTTGCTACCCTTATTACTGTGATATTAGCCTATTTTTTCTGTTTGCAGCACATTTTGTATCTGCAGAGTGCATATTTTATTTTAGTGTTTGCATGCATCTGCCACCATGCTTACCAGCCTCATATACTGTTATAACCATTTTTCTGAAGTACTCTGGAACAAAATGTGACTTGAGCACAGTGTTCACTTTCTTTTTAGGAGTCAGACCATACCAATAAACGTCTCAGATTCTAATAGGGGTACCTCCTTCAAAATGGAGTATGGGTAAAATGGGTAATGCTGTGTTAAAAAAAAAAGAAAAGAAAAGAAAACATAAAAATACACTGTGTGTGGTATGCTTGTGTGGGATTATCGCCACTTAAAGCTACAGTGTGTAATAATTACAGGGATATACAGTCAGAAATGTAATATATTATACATAACTATGTTATTTATCATCACCTATGAGCTCAGCCTCTTAACCTTAATATTTGCGTTGCCTTAGAATTCGTTATTTATAATTACATAGGAGCGGGTCTCGCAGCCATGGAGGCAGCGCAGAGGCAACAAACTA